ACTTGCTATAAAAAAACACGTGTAAAATAACAATCTCTAGGTTTTTTTATTTAGATGTAATAATTTCTATTATATCGTCTAAATATACACTTTTGGAAATTTACATGATTTCCATAAATTGATTAATTACTCGAAACTCTCGCGGGCAGTCGAAAAAGTGAACGGGGCCCTCTTTTTGCTTAAAGAAACTAACCAACGTAATCTGTGCACCATTTATATGGTAAACACAGCTTGATCCGAGTATAATGAACGTTGGAAAATAAACAAAATCTCATGTTTAATTATGTAGCAGTGGAACGAATATAAATTCTCATCATCCTAATGCTCTTAAGAAGGGCGTTTGAATTAATACAGTATGTAGCCACGAGAATTGAACAGATGCCGAGTCACATGGCGGTCGGTCTTTCTGGACACTGGTCAAGCAGATCGGTGGGAACTTCTCAAAGAATTGGAAACGTACTCATGTCCAGCCTGTTCCAAAAAAGGATCTAAGACCGACCCTCACATCTACAGTCATATATCTCTGCTTTCTGTTATGAGTAAGAAGTATGAAGATGGAGAGCTGCATGTATTAGGAGCATCTGGAGTCTCCACATAACCTCCTTACTCTGTTCAAGGCCCAGATAAGACTTAGTCTCTAGAACTGCTCACATGTTTGGGGTCCTGCCGCCCCGACTACATTATCCTTGCTCGATGATGTTCAGAGAAGAGCTGTCCGACTGATCGATGACTTTTCTCTAACGGACAGCCTCGGGACCCTTTCCCACCGACGGGCCGTCGGTACTATGACATGAGCTTTTCTTTTCCGAGCCCTCCTCTTCTCTTTGATGTTGCCGCGCGATGTGACTGCCATACAGACGCGCCTGATTTAGTCCTCCCATCCTAAACATGTCGAACTTTGAACATGCAGAACCGGCCAATACGATCGATATTTTGTCCCTAGGGTATCGAGATTGAAATACAATCGGCATGAGGAGGCTTTTTTCAGTTGTACTAATCTTAAGCAGCTTAAAGGTCATATTAACAAGGCTCCTTATATCAGCGGCGGTGTCCCTGTATTTAGGCTTCTGCCTAGTCGGCTGTTTCGGTAGAAAAAAAAACAACCACTGTGTTGCAATATCCTGAATAACGCAGTCTTCACTTAGTGACTTATTGAAATTAACACATCGTGTTCTATTTTTTAAATAACTGACCATACTTTGTATTCCATTTTTCTAAGTTTTCACGAATATTAAAAATTTCTGGAGACTATCTGTTTATTACATTTTTGAACGAAGTGAAGCAATCACATATAATATATATATATATATATATATATATATATATAATAAATTATTTGGGCGGAGTTTAGCTTAAGCTATTCCTCCACTGAACCCATACAAAAATAAATACAAACAAGAAGACAATAGATAAATGACAATAAGACTGATAATATAACAAAAGTATTATATATTTAATGTAATTGCTCTCGTAACTGAATAAATACTATTTTTATTAGCAGAAGTGAAAGATAAGTATTTTTGATTTTGACACTCTAAGTGCCAATTTCACCAACATTAATATTTAACGGTCCCTTGAACCAATAGGAAAAGACCTTAGCGAAATGCAATTTGACGGAAGCTGTCAAAGCTCTCTAAATATCAGTGATTTCTATTATGTTGAATAAAGTCGTGAGAAAACGGTTGCCTTATAAATACGGGTACATTATAGATGTAATATTATGTCTTTGTGCTTTAGAATTAGGATAGCTTCATAGAATTTCAAATTTTTATCATTTCACAAAAGACGGTCATTTACTTAAATTGACCAATGAAAATGAGAGAAATAATAGTCCGATTTTCTAGCTATTATATTTACCAGATGTTTTCACTGTTTCTGACGACTGTTCATGCATGGCAATCTAGTTTTGTCTGTATATCACGTACAGGATGTTGTACATAATACGTACCTGTAGAAATGTACCGATTTTTGTTATTTTGCAAAAACAAAGGATATAAAACGTATTCCAACTGGTTCATCATCTTTTGTTACATCAAAAACAATTTTTGCCAATTTATGATCTAGAAATCCACACCAAATGTAAACAACTGCAGATTCTGCATTTCTGGGTCCTAAAACATCCATATTTGTAAAATTATCCGCATCCACCTATTATTCATCGTCTAGATATATGATGTCAGAATCAAAAATACCTATTTATGAAAATATATCTCCAAACATTGTTATATTTTCTTCTTATTTCTATTATTATAACACGTCTGGGATATCAATTGCGTTTAAAGTCATCTGCACATCTGCAGTGTTGCCGCACCGGCAAAAAAAACGGAATCGGTAAATATTGTCGTTGAATTCAGTATAAGGGAAATGCCGTCCCAAGATCAGTGGTAGATCAAGGACCGTTGAGTCATGAAAAACGTCTCTTATTGTATTGGGCGCGCACACAACATGTTTTTGAGGGCCTGGTTCTATATTACTTCTACAATGTGCATACTGGTCGCCCTTTCACAGTACTTTTCTGTTTTACCCCTGAACTCATGAACTCTTTAATTTAATATTTATTTTGAAAACACAGGTTTCGGTTTCTTTATTGCATGTCCGGTGATGAGGTAATGACGGTAATCTACCAGTCTGTATCTTTAGTATGCACAAAAATCAATTCAGGGCAAGCGGAGTAAGGGATGAGGATGTGCGTTCGTAATCATAGGCAACCCAAATCTACGCCTCTCATGTGCCCGACTGCCTGAGTCTGTATGCATATGTATGATTGATATGGGACTTAAAACTATGAAGACTACAAAAAATTAACTTTTAGCTTTAGTTTTGGTTTCAGCTCTTTTTCGGCAAGTATAGAAATATTTAAATTATTTTGAAAAATCGTGGGAATGATGTTATCGGTAAATATTCTCTCTTCCGTAAAAATACCGAAAAATCCGGTTCAAGTCCATCCATAGACAATCTGAAATTTGCAATATGAATTTATATTCTAAATTCTATGCGTATCCGTTCATATTCGTCAATATTTTATTTGAAGCTTTTATTTGTCATAAGATTTTAGCAAAATGTAAGATAGTAAAGGCAACACCGCACCCTGCAGCCCAGTTGACAAGAACGACAAGCTGTCAAGATTAGGGATGTTTAGATCCATGAAAAGTATCGATATGTATCGATTCTTATCGTTTTAGGAAGTATCGATACTCTAAAATATTGGAATAAGTAATGGAAGCAAAAGTATCGATACGTCCTTACTGTCAAGATGTATAACCCGAGGTACCGACGGAGCTATTTTGTGGCGTCATGGAAATAATTTTAAATTTTCATTTGCATTTTTTCAAGTGTTGTGCAACGATTTTGGATAAAAATCCACGTATAGTCTTATAAAGCATAGTAGAGTATATTTCAACAGTTGGCGGAGCTTACTTCACTGGGTCCAAGGGTTGACGGATCCCACACATGTGTCACTCGTTGGGGAGTTTTGTAAATGTAATAATCAGCTGTTATTTAAATAAATAGATAAATAGAGTATATATTCAAATAATGTAAATATAAATATAACCTAGAATGTGTACTCAGTGAAACAAGAAAGATATTGCAAATTCTATTTTTCTGCAGGTTTTAAGTTTGCCGGTAGCTTTACGACATATATTTTAGTATTTCTTAATCCCTGTGAATATAGTGTGAATGTTTGTTCAGTTCCTGAACAACCAAAAAATATTTGACTTTATGGATTTATGGATCTCAAAAATCCTTAATGGTTTTGTGGGAATATCAATCCACTATGCTATAATGGTACTGATGAACGGTAAGTAAATGAATGAATGTTTGGAAACGAGCAATATCTATGAAATTTTTGGTAGAGCGTGTCATCAAGTAGGTGCTTAATGGCTATCTGCAAGAGGTTTATAGGAAAAAAACACACGGTAGGTGATGTTGAATCAGTAAATCGCATATCAGTTGACGAAAATAATATAAATATGAATAAACAATCGACAATATTAAATAAAAACATGAATTTTATTCAAAAATCGATTTAAATTTTGACTAAATTATATGTAATTTCTTAATATTCAATAAGCTGGTGATATTTCAATGACAATCTGTCATCTCATAATTTGACAGTATTTTGTTTTCAACATTTCATAGCTATTGGTTGCTAAAATTTGTTGATTGGAACTTGAAGCTCATTCTCTGTATTTGACGGACTGTTACCCTATAGGTGGAGAATATCGGACTGTTGATTTGACAATCCTGGTGAAATCCACCCTAAAAGCAGATTCTTGATATGTCTTTTACAGTCATCAAATGTCAAAGATTTAATTTCACGGGGGAATGAGTTATATAGATAGATCGCATTAAAGGTGAAGCCTTCATGAAAAAATGAAGTTCTATGGAGCATGGTGAGTGTGTATTTGAGAAGCGGATGAATGAACACACATACGATTTAATAGTTTTTCCTTTAAAAATGGAGATAATCAGGTAACTTGGAGTTTATGAACATAACATAGTAAGTGATATCTAAATAATAATGTAACATTCAACCAACCTAGTTTTTCAAACGATATAGAATTTTTTTCAAGATACCGAATCTAAAAATGTATTGTAAACAATATCACAATATGAAATTTTTGAAACGATCAATGATTCGCATAGAATTTTCTTAGTTTTATATTCTAAAATTTGTTTATTGAGGTATAACTGGCAAAGTACTGAAAAATAACTTTTAGTAATATGATTCACATGTGGAATGAAATTTAGACACTCGTCAAGAAAAATGGTTAAGTCAAGTTTTTAACTGTTTCATGCACTTGAACAATTTCGCCATCCCGAGATATGTTTGTATATTTTATCTTCTGGAAATAAGATAGAGTAAATCGAATATCAAATCCAGTCCGAGCAGACTGTAGAAGAACCTTGGGGCAAAAAGCTCTAATTGCACATTAAGTCTTTTAGATATTGTCCACACATGACGCCTCTCTTAATTATGTACTGTAACGGGCTGAGTATCATCGTAAATTCTCATCATCTATCCTAATCTTCTTACTTCCTCTCACTTTGAGATGATACATGACGCTACGATACGATTCGGTTTTCCACAACTGGAATGTGATTATTACACTTTTACACTTTCACGGCGCTTCAAGCGATTGGAGGCAACAAGATTAATTTTTTAATTACACTGTTCGGCATTCTAAAAATTTTTGTCGCTCTCCGAAATTTTTTCGGGTATTTTGCGTCTACTCTGTTGTACTGAAATCTAATACGCAGTCAGTTTCTCCCCATCACCCACAAGTGTTTAGAGAAGGGAGAATATAAAATATGAAAATCCCAGATCGTAAGCGATCTAGTGGTGAATTTTAAAAAATTAAAAAAAATTACGATTTCACTTTTTTTAAAATATTCTTTTTGTTGTGTAAAAAAATAGTCAAACAATTTATTGGGTTGTCGTTTTTCGCTTGTATTAGCCAGGAGCGGTTTCACGTTTGGAGGGATGTTTGGGTCCATTTTTCACTTCATCTGAGCAATTTTCTGGTGAAATCTTTCGCCGAGTTCGTCTGAAACTGCACCAAAATTGTCAGGGAATCATTCTAAATGGAAGTGAAGAAAATGCACCTAAAGTGACATATTGCAACGTAAGGCCTTATAAGATTGGATAATTTCTTCGACTAGATCTTTGTAGTTGCCGACTTTTTGTTGCCTAGGAAGTTGCTAAATACATTTCTGAAGGCATCCCGTACCCTTTTTTGCTTTCTCGAAAGCGTAATTTTCAAATTTGGGTCCTTAAAAAGTTCTCGTATTTTAGGTCCAACGAAAATGCCGTCTTTAAGCTTTGCTTCACTTATACGCGGGAATTTCCGTCTACATTCAAAAACGACTTCCTCTTCAAAACTTGGACCGGCTTCTGGCTCCTCTGTGTGAGATTTATCTGGTTCATCATGTTTCTTTGGAGGCTTAGGAACAGGTATGCTAGAAGAGTCATAAGTAATAAATCCCATAATTTTTGTTAAACAAAAGTAACAATCATCAACATGATTCTTAGGTTCCCGCCAAATCATTAGCACTCCAAATTTCATAGAAGTGTGTGTACCCCGTACGCCCAAACCCTTTGCTGACAGGAAGTTTCGGATCAAAATTAACAATGTTTTGTCAACAACACAACCAGTACGGGCCGGTGTCCCTCAGGGTTCGGTTCTAGCACCAATCCTTTATTCGATTTTTATCCATGATGTCCCTTGCCCCAGCAACTGTGAAGTCTACCTCTATGCTGACGACACTGCACTTGTCGCCCAGTCATGTACTAGTGATCTGGTTCACGATGGGTTGCAGATGGCGGTGGAAGAAGTACTAGAGTGGGCGGAACGGTGGCTGATTAATATTAATCATTCGAAAACGCAGGCTATTTATTGTACCAAAAAACGTCGCGGCCTCCCAGCAGAGGTCTCTGTAGACGGCAATGGACAAATTCTGCCAAGTACCTCGGTGTCACGCTTGATAAAGGCATGACCTGGCAGACACATACAGCAGCTTTGAAAACAAAATTCCAAATTGCGTTTCGGCGGTTTCCTTTGTTATGTAGATCCTCCAAATTGAGTTTGATAAACAAAGTTCGCCTATATAAAATGATTATTGGACCAGTCATTACTTATGCATGTGCTGCTTGGTGTTTTCTTGCCAAGACACAAATGCAAAGTTTTCAAGTACTGCAAAGTAGAACTTTGCGAACAATTTGCAACGCTCCATGGTATGTCTCAAACGAGGCACTACACAGAGACCTTGACATTCCTTACTTGAGGCGCAGCGACGTTATAGTCAAGCGGAATCGCACATCAACAATCTGTTGCGCGACTCAGTGGACTACACAGCGGAGCAAGTTCGTACACATTCAAGGCCACGGCTCGCACTGTAATCAAAAATTAGCGCGAACTTTTAGTAAACTTAAAATTACACTCGTAACAGAACCGAATCAAAATTTGTTTAGTTCACCTCAAAATTAATCCGTGTACCAAGTCAAAAATCCTAGGTGTCTCCTCTTAAACTAAACACTTCTGTTTTTCTTTGCTCTTCTCCATTTTTCTTTTCTTTCCCTTTCGCTTTTTCCTTGACATTGTCTGGTTTTTGGGCAACCAGTACTGACAGATTCGACTAACGTACATTAGGCAGTGACTAATGGGCAAAGGTCCTACGGACCGCACAGACCAACCAAATTACGAATAGTAGCCTTTGCTGACAGTCAAGCCCTGTGACCTGGCACTATCTCCATAACATGGCGGACCTCTGCCGCCGAACCCAGTCAAGGAGGTTGCGGTTGTCAATGCTCAGATTTTCAAACCCTCGGCTCGTTTAGCACCTTGTTATTTGTCGGCTTCGGGTATATACCCTTAGCGGCTCGCCATTGCTGAGTACAAAGGGCACTTTTCGATAGACCTTATACGCTGAATAGAGTTGCTGTTTTTTTTTTCGTTGTCCACCTAGACCAAGCCTACACCTTGCTGCAGTGTTGCGTGGAGTAGCAAGAAACAGCTCTCCATGGTTGATCGTCGGTGGTCGAAGGAACGAAACCTACGAGGGCGGCCCGATAAGTATTTAGCCTACAAAAGAAAAACAAAAACCTTGGAAACTTCTTAAACCCGTTTGAAAAATACTTTTTCTGGAGGTCTGCAAAGTAGGCATATGGGACAGCAGTTGGTAGCATAGTTCGACCAATTGGACGTGGCGATGGCGGAGGCGGAGGTGAAGCCGGTGCGCTGTCATAGTTTTTCTGCAATTCGACACCGAATTGGCCCAATTCTGCAATTCGGCACCGAATTGGCCCAATTCTGCAATTCGGCATGATAGAGCCCTGATACCGTTTTGCCCTTCTCCAGGTAGTCGATGTACATCGCACCTGGCGAATCCCAGAAACTGGTGGTCATCACCTTTCCGGCCGATAGGACAGTCTTCGCCGTCTTCCGAGCACGTTTGCCGGGTCAAGTCCACTGTTTTGACTGTTCCATGCATTAATTTCGCTGCGCGATTTCCCAACTAACAATTATTACTCCTATTAGAGTTGCAAGAATGATTATACAGTATTCCTTACACAGCATTGTATACTGTAAGAACATTGGCAAATCCCTCTTAGAACAGCTATACAAGCGCAATGGGCACACCTAATAGGACACTTGAGTCATTTAAGAGGTTGTATAAGGGCTGCAGGTAACAGTTATACAACAAAAGTGTAAGCCTCTTGCAGCCGCAATAGGACATTTGCGTCAGTGCAAGATTCAGTTCTTGTCAACTATACAACTATTCTGTTATGTGATTCTACTTTATTGCAACCAAACTATTTCTTATGTATTGTATAGACGAAGAGAAGAATATATAACAGTCATCTTGTTTACTTATAGTACATATCGGCCATTGTGAATTTCATACACAAGTACCGATATGACAAACGTCTACACTGTGATATAGGGCTATTGAATTACTTGCGTAGCAAATTTTATTGTGATTATCGGGCAATGTAGTTACGCAATTGCTACGGGTTTCGTATTTGATTCATATTTTAATAATGATCGAAAGTATGTCTAGATTTTTAAGATGGAAAACTGAACTTATCTGCGTTAAATCTTCCACAAATCCTATATTTAGACACAATTACACTAATGTTTATCACTTTATATCTGTAATTTCGAACTGAAACATAATTATTTAATATTAAATAGAGGAATAAATGTTTGCCCAATATGGCGGGTGGTTGTGTACAATCATGGCATCGTCCATGTTGTCTTTAGTTTATTAGAATATTTTGGTGTTGCCTGCAGGTGTTATACAACAATTTGACAAATGTCTGAAATGAAATACCGACAGAGTTGAATGATTTACCCAGAATTTGTACCAGATCTATATCTTCTGTTTGAACAGTTGATAAAACCTTTTGAACCAATATGCATGCGTTGTTTGTCTTAAAACATTGATTATGGCATTTTAGCATTTTACAAAAATATGACAGCAGAAAGCTAAGTTATGGTGAAGTTGTTTACCAACATATTTAGCATATGTACAGCCTTTAACAGTTACTAAACAACAGTTGGATAAGTGCTTCCGTTGGGAGCAATTTGTTGGCTAAAGTAGTAAATTTGCACAGCAAAATAACAAGGCTCGGGTTTGTTTTATAAACGTTACCATGGATGCCACAATACAACCATTTTGACTAAAGTGCAAATATGCCATATAAAATAGTTGTATAAACGTTTATGCAACAGTTAAAAAATTGTCCTATAACTATGCTATAAGAATATTTTAAACACCTCATTTTAGAGCAAATATGTCGCAGAGAGCAAATTTGCATTCCACACAACATTAAGCCAGCATTTTGGTGTTCAGGCAACAACAATAGAGAGCTTTTATAGCTGAACGGTTCTTTTACCAAAAGCTTATAGCACTACTTTGCTAGTTGGGTTCCCTCCCAAAAACAAGAATCGAATCACCGACCGGTGCTGCTCTTTCTCAATTTTTCTAAAATCCGCGGACACGCCTGCTTCCACACGGGTCAAAACAAAACTACGATCAGGCTGAAATTTTAACATAGCCGCCTACAAGAATGTAGATTATAGTAAATTTCTACTGCATGCCATCAAGAGGTGAGTACAAATCGGACCACCCTCGTAGTTTGTTCAATGGCGAGTAGACCGTATCTTATATGGTGCCAGAACCGGCGGTATCTAGCGGCCACGGTGGTGACCCGGAGAGGTTTTACTTAACTTGAAAAGTGACATTGTCAATTTTTTGACATTATGTAGGTTTTTTATGACATTATGTAGGTTCCCCTACAAGATGTCAACTAGGATCTAGGCTGTCGCTCACCTCATGGTCACTTTTAGCAGGCTCAGAATGCACTATTTGCACACTACCAACTATCTAATCAACAAGTTTTTTACCATTTTATAGGTTTTCTACGTCGGCTGGCAAAGAGATAGCTTCGTAATTTCACTTGAGTGGTCAATTTTGCCAAAGAAGCACTACATTATGCTGAAGAGTTGCGAAATAGCACAAAACAGCTGTTGATAAATAGGTCATCTGTGGTCGGACAAAAGAAAGCTATATTACTTAATTATCGGAG